GTGACGCGCTTCTCCTGAAGCACCCTAGTGAGCTCACTATCGAGGTCCTAGAGTCTGCGCTCAAGGACGTCGAGAGCAACCTCCGCTCAGTAGCCTCCGCCTCTGGTGCTGTGCCCCCTCCACTGTTTCACGGGTGCACTGTACCCCAGCTGCCCACCTTTACTGCCTCCCTAGCCACTGCCACCACTGACGTGATCGCTGCTGCTGTTACGACTTCGTCGCGTTCTCGGGGTAGGGGTGGCAAGAGGAGCGGCGGGTGGAGCCGCGGCGTGGTACCTGGCCCAGCGGCAGCAGCAGCAGCAGCAGCAGCGGCAGCAGCAGGTTTCGGGGCCAGCACAACGTCAGCCTCAGCGAGGTGCTGTTCACCCTTCGTGCACCTATCAGCTTTTGACAGGTGCTCGCCGAGGCCAGCCTTGTGGTCGCACCCACCCTCCTTGTCAGTGCTTTGCTCAGCTCACTGACACGGTTCGCTTGGCCTACGGCGTTGGAGGCCCTGCCCCTGACTGGTTTCCTCTTGTTCAGACGTACGGCCCTGCCCTTTGGGGCATGTCAGCTTCTCAGTTGCTTGATCTCTTAGGAACTCCTCATGCTATGTATGCTGTTGTTGACTCTAGTGCTTCTGACTCTGTTTACTCGAGTGTTGCTAGCTTAGGTGCTTGTCTTGCTGAGTTGCCTCTTGCTAGTGTAGGCACCTGTGTAGACACTAGTCCAGGAGCTCGTTCTGAGGACGCTTCACTGTCTTTCACTTTGGACTTTGGGGCTTCGCACTGCTTCTTCAGGGACCACACGACACTTACTCCGCTTCCTGCGCCAGTCTCTGTGGCACTGGCTGATCCCACCTCGGGACCAGTCACTGCTCGCTACACTACTACTCTTCCGTGCCCTGCTGTTCCCTCTGGGTCTCTGACTGGCTTCCATGTCCCCTCGTTCTCGAGGAACTTGGTGGGCGTGAGGCCTCTTGTGAGTCAGCACGTGGGTGTGTGGATTGAGCCCTCTGATGAGACGGCGGTTTGTGTTGACGGCGACACTTACGCGCCTCTTGCCACCTTTACAACGGAGCCGGGCTCAGGTCTCTACACACTTCACACTGACCCTAGTGTACAGCGGCAGCAGCAGCAGCAGCGACTCCTGCCCCCGGCCCTGGTTACTTCCCCCAGTCTGGTCCCTGCGTCTCACCAGGTTGCTGCGTCCCCCCAGGTAGCTGTGTTTGGTCAGGTTCCCGTGTCTGGTCCAGTTGCTGCGTCGTGCTCCTGCCGGTTGCTTGCACACCCCACCGTTCTGTGGCACCACCGGACGGGGCACCCGTCCCTCCCTCGTCTGCGCGCTATGTCTCGTCAGCGTCTTGTCTTAGGCCTCCCGCGTGTCTTGCCGTCGCTGCCGCCTTCGCTTGCACCGCCGTGCGGTCCCTGCGTCGAGGGTCGGCTGCGCGCCACCCCTCACTCCTCCTCCCTTCGTCCAGCCACCGAGCCTTTTGAGACGCTCCACTTGGACGTCTGGGGCCCCGCCCCTCGCCTTGGCCCTGAGCGCGAGCGTTTCTTTTTGGTGGTCGTTGATGACTACTCCCGCTACACCACTGTGTTCCCCCTGGCGAAGAAGTCTGAGGTGACTTCTACGCTGATCAGGTGGTTGCTTACCACTGAGGGCACTCGTGGTCGTCGTGTCAGCTGTCTTCACTCTGACCGTGGGGGTGAGTTTCGCTCCGGCATTCTCGCTGGATTCTGTCGCGAGCAGGGCATTAGTCAGTCCTGGACGCTTCCAGAGTCCCCACAGCAGAATGGGGTTGCTGAGCGCCACATAGGCTTAGTCATGGAGATCGCCCGCACCTCCTTGACTCACGCCCGTGCCCCCCATTTTCTGTGGCCCTACGCGGTTAGGTACGCCGCTCACCAGCTGAACCTCTGGCCACGCGTCTCTCGGCCAGAGGCTTCACCGACCAGTCTTTGGACCGGGTCCCCTGGTGTTGCGTCGAGGTTTCGTGTCTGGGGTTGCTTGGCTCTTGTCCGCGACACTTCCGCGGACAAGCTCTCGCCTCGCGCCGTTCCCTGTGTCTTCCTTGGTTTCCCTGAGGACTCCTCTGACTTCACCTTTTACCACCCTCCCTCTCACCGGTTCTTTGACTCCCGTGACGTCAGTTTCGAGGAGTCCACCCCCTACTACGTCAGGTACCCCAGTCGAGGTCTCCCGGTTCCTCCTCCCCCTCTCTTCCTGACTTCCACTCCCCCTCCTGCTCCCCCGGTACAGCCTCCCCCCCCTGGTCCCGCCCCGTCAGGTGTGTCCCAGGCTACCCCTCCCCCCTCGGTCGCCCCTCAGGTGCAGCCTCCTTCCCCGCAGTCCTCCTCGCAGCCTTCTGCAGACCCTGTGGGAGCCGGTGCTCGTGGAGAGGGCCCTTCAGGTGCTAGCTCTGGGGGTGCTGGAGTTGGAGCTGAGCCCGTGGTTGCAAGAGACTCTTGTCTTCCAGGAACTGGTGCTGGTCCTGCTGACTTTGGGGGTGCTACGTCTGGGGGTGCGGGTGCACCCTCTTCGGGTCCTGGTGAGCCTGGTCGTGTTTCTGTTGGTGGTGCTGACTCTGGGGGTGGTGCGCCAGGTGCTTTGGAGGGCAGTCCCGGGGCTGCCGCAGCCCCCGACACTACTCCTCCCCCCCACCCCTACCCGACCCGGCACCAGGCTCGTGTTCTTCGTGCCCGTGAGGAGCAGCTGGAGTTGGAGAGAGAGGAGAGAGAGTTGCAGCGGCTGGAGGAGCAGCAGCAGCAGCAGGAGCAGCTGCAGCAGCCGCGGCTGGAGCCGCCGCAGCAGAAGGAGGCGCAGGAGTTGGAGCCGCTACAGCAGCAGGAGGAGCAGCAGCAGCCGCCGCAGCAGCAGCAGCAGCAGCCGCCGCCGCAGCAGCAGCAGCAGCCGCCGCCTCCTCCTCCTGTCTCCGGTCTTCGGGCCCTCGGTCTCCCCTCCCGCTCTCCTTCCTCCTCCCCCTCTCCTCCCGTCTCGGGTCCTCCGCTTCCTCCTCCTGACCCCCCTCCAGCTGTTTTCCCTTGTTCTCAGTCTTCGTTGTCCCCTCCTCCTTCTCAGACCTGGGCCTCTCGTCGCTCCCCTCGTGCTCGTCCCTCGTCCCCTGTTCCCTTCACTGACCTTCGTACTGCCTTACTTTGTTCTAGTCTGCCTCGTCCGTCTCCGTCTGTGCTTCCGTCTCCTCCTGAGTCGGCCCTCACTGCTTCGCTTTCTACTCCTGTCACTGACTACTACCGCACGTACCGTCCTGTTCTCTCTTGTGTTCTCGCCTCTCTTGTTACCCACCCTCGTGCCTCTGTGTCCTCTGACTCCACTCTTACTGCCTCAGTCACTGAGTTTGCCTCTACTCGCCGCCTTGACTTCGCCACCAGTCTTGTGGCTGCTCCTCCTTCCAGTCCTCTGGCCGTCGGGGGTGTGTCTGCCCTAGGCTGTGGCGCCCTAGAGGACAGGCAGTTTGAGCTAGAGTTCCTGGCAGCCGCTTCCCCTCATCTCTATGCCATGGTGCTCGCCCCTGCGGGAGACCCCGACGCCCTTGACATACCGACTCCTCGCACTTACGCTGAGGCAGTGTCAGGGCCTTGGGCCTCTCAGTGGAGAGCTGCCATGGACGCAGAGATGGCCTCCTACAGATCCACAGGCACCTACGTCGACGAGGTTCCCCCCCCTGGGGCGAACGTAGTCGATGGCATGTGGATCTACAGGGTGAAGCGGCCACCGGGATCTCCTCCGGTCTTCAAGGCGCGCTACGTGGCTAGAGGTTTCAGTCAGCGCGAGGGAGTTGACTTCTTTCAGACCTTCGCGCCCACCCCGAAGATGACCACTCTTCGGGTGTTACTGCACGTAGCGGCACAGAGAGACTACGAGTTACACTCTCTCGACTTCTCTACTGCGTTTCTTCAGGGTAGCCTACACGAGGAGGTCTGGCTGCGTCGTCCCTCTGCCTTCACTGGCACTTTCCCTCCTGGGACCCAGTGGAGGCTGAGGCGACCGGTCTACGGTCTCCGTCAGGCTCCCCGTGAGTGGCACGACACCCTTCGTTCTACTCTCGTTGACCTTGGTTTTTAGCCGTCGTCTGCCGACCCGTCGCTGTTCTTTCGTCGTGGCTCTACACCGTTCTTTGTTCTAGTCTACGTCGACGACCTGGTTTTCGCCACTGCTGACAGGGTTGCCTTGGCAGACGTGAAGTCCGAACTGCAGAAGAGGGACGGGACACAAATTCCCGTATTTTCCTCTACCTTGCCTCTTTCCCCTATCCACCGTCCGGATGGATGAAGGAACAACCGCCTGCGTTCCAAGTCACAGACATCGAGTGAAAGAACAACCGCCTGCCTCATCATCTCCTCCCTTGTCCCCTCTTTTTCCACAGGTGCGGCAGCAGCTAGCAGCGGAGCAACAGGTCAGCCAGAAGCAGGAGCAGCAGATACGCGCTCTGCAAGAGGTGCGTGAGGGAGTGGAGCTAGAGGGATGGAGATTGTGAGGGATCATGTGTCGACGTCAGCTTGTGTATGCTTCCGCATGCAGTGCACCTTCCTTGTGCGATGCAACTATGCGGTTCATAATTATGCATTTGTGCATCCTACTGTGTGCCTGTCCCCGGCCCGGTGTGACTGTATCAGGAGCTGCGAGCAGCAAGAGGGGTGCCGCGAGACAAGTCGCCTAAGAAGCCCCCAGAAGGGGGCAATCCCTGACCGTTGCCCAGCCTTAACTGGATGCTGAATGTGGCATGGGATTGGGAAGCTGCACGCACAGGCAGAGACTGGCACGAACCCACCCACCTCAATCGGTGGCAGCATGGCGTGTGACAACCCTGCTCTCATCCACCCAGTGGCAGCACATCTGCATCTCAGCGTGCGGCGGCTTCAGCTGAGCTCGCTCCTATTGCAGACGCAGTCAAGGGTTCTATTGCACACAGGCCAGCAGAGGCAAGGGTAGTATGAGGCAGGTGCCAATGTGCCAGTGGGGAATCGTTTGAAGGCCTCTCAACACCTTGCCTCACAATGTTATGCGAGGAGCTGTAGACGTTTGTCACCTGCTGCCGTAGCAGACTGGAGGTGTGGTGGAGGCTCAGCACCTGCTCCATCTCTTCCGGTTTGCAGGCATTCCATGTCGCTGGCAGACGTTTCAGCACAACCAGCAGCCTTCACAGCTTCAGCAGCAGCAGCAGCAGCAGCAGCAGCAGCAGCAGCAGCAGCAGCAGCAGCAGCAGCAGCAGCAGCAGCAGCAGCAGCAGCAGCAGCAGCAGCAGCAGCAGCAGCAGCAGCAGCAGCAGCAGCAGCAGCAGCAGCAGCAGCAGCAGCAGCAGCAGCAGCAGCAGCAGCAGCAGCAGCAGCAGCAGCAGCAGCAGCAGCAGCAGCAGCAGCAGCTTGTCCTCCTCAATGCTTTGAGCTGAATTGACTTGATGTTCTACCCGGCACAGGCTGGCACTGTGATCTCTGTCATCTGCAGCGGGATCTGCGAGTCTGAGCTAACTCCTTCCAGTGCTTCACCACTGCCCTGATCAAGCTGGTGCATCAAGATGTATTTCTAGTTGATCTTCATGCATGTTGCTGTTTCTTCACGCCCATTCAAGTGCTTGCGGTTGTTGAAATGACATGGTGGACATATGCGCCATCGCCGTTGTTTGAGAGCTAATCAGGCATTGCCTGCCTGCAAAATTGTGAATCTATTTAGCCTTCTTCACAGATGGTACTGTTACGGGTATTACTACAATGGGAAGACTTTGTAAAGAGCTCAGAGCTCGAAGTGACCAGCACGCACTCACAGCATGCCAAAGTTGAGTCAAGGCAGCAGGGCCCGATGCATGGAACGAGGCGGCGGCGGGAGGAGGGGTGCAGCACCCCCAGCACCTGCAGCTCTGATGCTGCTGCCAAGAACCGAGCCCTGGGAAGGGTGGGAGGGCAGGGGGAACATGGTACCGTATATTGAGTTGCAAGGATGGAAACATACGGGAACCGAGCACAGGGCATGGGGACACATTTATGGGGTGCAGAACCCCCAGCACCTGCAGCTCCGACGCTGCTGCCAGGAACCGGGCCCTGTGGGGGGTGGGAAGGCAGGGGCATTAATGGAACATGGAGGCTGAAGTGGGAACGTGGGAGAGAGTGACCAATGTGGGATGCCAAGGGAAGGGATGATGGTGGAAGGATGGTGCAAGCAACACGAGGGGAATGGCATGGCACGGCACGGTACAGACACGAGGGTAATGGCATGGGTTAGTGTGAGCACGAGGGCACGTCATGGTATTCTTGGATGCATGGGCTGATCAATCATGGGTGCATGGGAATGAACAATGATGGACGCATGGGAATGAACAATGATGGACGCATGGGAATGAACAATGATGGACGCATGGGAATGAACAATGATGGACGCATGGGAATGAACAATGATGGACGCATGGGAATGAACAATGATGGACGCATGGGAATGAGCAATGATGGACGCATGGGAATGAACAATGATGGACGCATGGGAATGAGCAATGATGGACGCATGGGAATGAACAATGATGGACGCATGGGAATGAACAATGATGGACGCATGGGAATGAACAATGATGGACGCATGGGAATGAACAATGATGGACGCATGGGAATGAACAATGATGGACGCATGGGAATGAACAATGATGGACGCATGGGAATGAACAATGATGGACGCATGGGAATGAACAATGATGGACGCATGGGAATGAACAATGATGGACGCATGGGAATGAACAATGATGGACGCATGGGAATGAGCAATGATGGACGCATGGGAATGAGCAATGATGGACGCATGGGAATGAACAATGATGGACGCATGGGAATGAACAATGATGGACGCATGGGAATGAACAATGATGGACGCATGGGAATGAACAATGATGGACGCATGGGAATGAGCAATGATGGACGCATGGGAATGAACAATGATGGACGCATGGGAATGAGCAATGATGGACGCATGGGAATGAGCAATGATGGACGCATGGGAATGAACAATGATGGACGCATGGGAATGAGCAATGATGGACGCATGGGAATGAGCAATGATGGACGCATGGGAATGAACAATGATGGACGCATGGGAATGAGCAATGATGGACGCATGGGAATGAGCAATGATGGACGCATGGGAATGAACAATGATGGACGCATGGGAATGAACAATGATGGACGCATGGGAATGAGCAATGATGGACGCATGGGAATGAACAATGATGGACGCATGGGAATGAGCAATGATGGACGCATGGGAATGAACAATGATGGACGCATGGGAATGAACAATGATGGACGCATGGGAATGAGCAATGATGGACGCATGGGAATGAACAATGATGGACGCATGGGAATGAACAATGATGGACGCATGGGAATGAACAATGATGGACGCATGGGAATGAACAATGATGGACGCATGGGAATGAACAATGATGGACGCATGGGAATGAACAATGATGGACGCATGGGAATGAACAATGATGGACGCATGGGAATGAACAATGATGGACGCATGGGAATGAACAATGATGGACGCATGGGAATGAGCAATCATGGACGCAACTGGATGTGGTCGTCTGAGATAGCAGCAGTCTTGGAACTGCCATTGTGCCCCATCTCCTGTTCCTCCTCCTCCGCACCACCACTCTTCCTCTTCCTCCCTCTCCTCCCTCCGGCCTTCTCACCATCGTTCACTGCATCTCTCCCCTCTACCTTTCTCCCCTTCCTCCCACTCCCCCGGCCCCTCTTTCCACCAGCAGCAACACCTTCAGCTGCGCCAGTAGCAGCAGAACCAACAGCCTCACCCACAGCACCACATTCAGCTGCATTGGGTGCAGCCACAGCAGCAGCGGGGGCGCAGGCAGCACGAGTGGCAGCAGCGAAGGCAGAGAGGAGGTCACGGGAGTCAGCAGAAGCACCAGGCATGGCGCACACCAGGGAGTACAGGCGACCCGTGTCATGCGCTGTCGATGCTGCTGGCATCACACCTCCTTGAGACAACCTTTCAGTCAACCCCAAGCTGTGATGTTCACGTGAGGGCGCTGGAACGATATGCTTGTGAGGGGCCTTGTGAGGGGCCATGAGAGGCGCCTTGTGAGGCGCCTTGTAGGGGGCCTTGTGGGGTGGCCTCTGAGGTGCCTCAAGGGGCGGTGGCATAAGATCCGTCTGAGACGGCCGTTTAGTGAAGCTGATGATATCCAGAGCTGTTCGCACTTCCATCAATTGCATTTGAACTCCCTGCTGCTGCTGCTGCTGCTGCTGCTGCTGCTGCTGCTGCTGCTGCTGCTGCTGCTGCTGCTGCTGCTGCTGCTGCTGCTGTTGCTGTTCCTGCTCCTCCTTCTCCTCCTCGTGCTGCTGCTGCTGCGGCTGCAAGGAGAGGTCAGAGCAGAGGGAGGAGAGAACAGTGGCACCAGCAGGGTAGGCAGCGAGGGAAGCAGGGGCTTCAACAATAAACGGCTGCAGGAGCGGGTGGGAGGACCAGTCTGCTGCACAAAGGCTGGTGGGGGAAAAGCGAAAGCGGGAGAGAGAGGGGGGGAGAGTGAGAGCGAGGAGAGCACAGCGGCCCCAGCAGAGTAGGCTGCGAGGGAGGCAGGAGGTTCAACAATAAACGGCTGCAGGTGCGGGTGGGAGGACCAGTCTGCTGCACAGAAGCTGGAGGGGAGGAGCGAGCGAGTCAGGGGAGAGGCAAGGGAAGAGAGGAGGGTAGAGAGAGAAGGGGGAAGGAGAACTCATGCTCGGACATCAGAGGGGATGGCGGGTGATATCAGAGGGGATGGCGGGTGACATCAGAAGGGATGGCGGGTTGGAAATTGGGAAAGAGGACCACGTCCCTGCAATCACTCCCAACACCACCTCAAGTTCTGACGATAGTAATAATATATGAAAGCGCAACCCAATTCTCCTCACAATTCTCGATTCAATCTCCTCAATCCTTACCGCACAAGGGACACCAGCAGGGCTTGCAACTTCCCTGCCACATGCGGCAGCAGCAGGTCACAGAGCGACCTGGAGGCAGCAGGAGGGGCTGAAGCAGGCTGGGGGGGACGGGGCGCAGTTGTTGCTGTTGATGGCACTGGTGACGACGATTGGAGCAGCATGACCCTGAGACAAAGTGGGTTGGGTTGGGTTTGATTGGGTTGGACCGTTGGAATGGGTTGTGGGGCAAATGAAGAGGGTCGGGAAGCGCAGAGGAGGGGCATGCAAGCAGGGAAGGCGTGTCATTTGCAGAGTCGCCGCTTTATATTGTGAAAGCCAGGAAAGGCATGAAAATCTTCATCCTTTTCCACCCACCTTCCCCTCATCGCTGCGCTCCAGCCCTTCTGAGCACATTGTCTCAATCCCTTTCGCCTCTTACCCTCGCCTCTATCTTCCCCACCCAGCACACTCGAAACCACCTCGATCTTCCTCTCTCCCAGCTACTTCATCGCACCCCACCCAGCTTCTCCGCATGGCAGCACTCGAGCCCCTCTGAGCCATCCTTGCTGCACCTACCCTTTCACATATTTCCCTCGCCCATGTCTTCCCCGTCCTGCACACTCCCATCCCCCTTACTGCAACTCATCCCATTCCACCCACCTTCTCCGCATGGCAGCACTCGAGCCCCTCTGAGCCATGCTTGCAGCACCCGCACCTGCCACCCCTCCTTTCGTGCCCTTCCCACCATCCGCTCCTTTTAGACCAGCGCCTCCTGTTGACCCTTCCCCAGGTAACCCTGCCTTAGCTGGATTGCCATTTCTGGACCTCGTACCATCCACGCCATTCCGACTCTCCTTCTCATTCTCGTTTGTTGAATCTCCTCCTTTCCGCCTTCCTACTGCTGCTGCTGCTGCTGCTGCTGCTGTTTTTTCTGCTTTGCCTCGGCGAACTGCTCCATCCACAGAGGCTTGGATCTGCCGAACCAGACGGAGGGGCTGCGCCGAACCACAGAGGGACAGGAGCAACAAAGAGGCACAACGGACGGACGAACAGCTGTGATGAAAAATGGCTACATTGCAGCAGCGGGCTCATTGGAGACCAAGCTCAGGAGACATCACACAAATATACAGACCAGGACGTAACCAAAGTGACTAGCCACGGAAACTCTCACCATATCGCAGCCCCTGACATGTGATGCGACATCCAGCCATCCAGTGCTTGCGTCTCACGAACCTAACCCTCTCTATGAACATGGCCTTTAAACCAACTCCAACAGCTATCCCCAGGGATGCACCCCAGGCCTAGGGGCCTACGGGTCGCGACAGGAAGTAGGGGCAGCACGAGGGCTGCAGAGGGCTGCTAGCGGGGAAGTGCTGTGGTGGGCCAAAAAAAAAAACGGTCCTAGCGGAGGACCTGCTCTGAAACCATGTCAGAATCATGAACGAGAATGGATAAACTAGCAAAGAGTTGGGTAAAAGTACTAACCCGAATTGGGTTGTACCCCTTATGGGCTACCCCACTATAGCCTACACAATATAAGCTATATATAAGTTTGACAGTGCTGCGGGTGCTGGATGTGCTGGAGGTGCTAGTGGAGCTACTAGCACTCAAGGTGCTGGAGGTACTACTGGTGCTAGAGGTCTTGGCGCTGCTAAAGCTAGTGGTGCTGCTGGTGCTGGAGGTGCTGGAGGTGCTGCTTGAGCTCCTGGTGCTGGAGGTGCTGGTGCTGTTGGTGCTGGAGGAGCTGGAGCTGCTGGTACTGCCCCCCGCAGACCGTTTTTCTACCCGCAGTCGCAGTCATCCCTGCCACCGCTTGACTCGGTCCTTCGCCAGGTTCTTGGTCTCCCTTCTTCCACTGGCCTCCCTCTACCCCTCTTGTGTCCACCGACAGACCAGTCTCAGCCACAGCTACTGCCTGGCTCCCCGCTGCCTGCGCCTGCTCCTCACACTGAGGTGACTGAGTCCCTGACTGAACGTCGTGAGCCTGGGACTCGTGCTTCCACACCTCTTCGTGCTCGTCGTGTCACCCGTCCTCGTCCTCCTGCTGTCCCAGGCACTCACAGTATGGCACTTCGTCCTTCCTCTGTTCCACAGCATGTTGTCCTGCCTGAGCCTCCCGCGTCCTCTCTCCCGCACGCTCCTGACCCTGAGTCCGAACTTGCTCGTGCTGCCAGTCCTACTGTCACTTGTCTCCTCGCTACTATCATCAATGACCCTGACCTTGAGTCTACTGCAGCGTTTTCCCTAGTCATTGAGCTACCCGACTTTGCAGCAAGGAGTCGTCTCGACTACGTCGAAAGTATTGTCACAGAGTCTGAGTCTGTCTGCCCTCCGTCTGTCGGGGGTGAGCTTGCCCTTAGCAATGACGTACTTGAGGACAGACAGTTTGAGCTTGAGTGTCTTGCGGCCGCTTTACCTTGTTTCGCATCCATGCTGCTTTGCCCTGAGGGAGACCCGGATACACTTGACATCCCTACCCCGCACTCTTACACTGAGGCGATCGCGGGTGAGTACTCCTCTCAGTGGCAGATAGCCATGGACGCAGAGATGGCTTGCTGGAAGTCCACAAGCACCTACGTCGACGAGGTTCCTCCTCCTGGGGCGAACATAGTCGATGGCATGTGGATTTTCAGAGTGAAGCGGCCGCCGGGTTCTCCGCCTGCCTTCAAGGAGCGTTATGTTGCTCCAGGCTTCAGTCAGCGACAGGGGGTTGACTTCTTCCAAACCTTCTCCCCCACCCCAAAGATGACTACTCTTCGGGTGCTGCTGCACGTTGCAACACAGCGTGACTACGAGCTGCACTCCCTCAACTTCTTCAGAGCTTTCCTGCAGGGCAGCCTTCACGAGGAGATCTGGCTGCACCTCCCACCCGGCTTCACTGGGTCGTTTCCTGCGGGTACCCAGTGGAGCCTTCGGCGGCCAGTCTACGGTCTTCGACAAGCACCCCGAGAGTGGCACGACACACTGAGGACTACACTTGTGGCTCTTGGGTTTGCTCCTTCCTCTGCTGACCCGTCGCTGTTCTACGCACCGACAATACCCAGCCGCCGTTCTACGTTCTAGTGTACGTCGACGACTTGGTTTTTGCTACTGCTGACACTAAGGTGCTGGCCCTAGTGAAGGCGGAGCTGCAGGAGAGACACACCTGCACTGACCCGGGTGAGCTGCGTAGCTATCTTGGCTTGCAGATCACCCAGGACAGAGCACGGCGCACCATCACCCTGACTCAGTCACACATGGTGCACCAGGTCCTTCACCGCTTCGGCTTCCAGTTCTTCTCGCCACAACCCACTCCCCTGTCTACCGGCCACTCGCTCTTAGCTCCACCTTCGGACAATCGTAGAGCCGAGTGGTCCGTACCCAAAGCTTGTGGGTTGCCTCATGTACCTGATGACGTGCACACGACCTGACCTCGCGTACCCTGTCAGCCTCCTGGCTTGCTACGTGGCTCCCGGTAGACACCGAAAGGTGCACTGGGATGCTGCGAAGAGGATACTGCGTTACTTGTGCAGTACATCGGGCATGGGGCTCGTGCTTGGAGGTCAGGGACAGCCTGCGGCGTCGAGGCGCAGCCCCCCGGGCCCGGCCCTCGGAGCCAATCCTTTTCCCGAGGTTACGGATCCGTTTTGCCGACTTCCCTTACCCACATTAATCCATTGACCAGAGGCTGTTCACCTTGGAGACCTGATGCGGTTATGAGTACGACCGTGCGTGAGCAGTATTCGCTCCTCCGGCTTTTCAAGGGCCGTTGGGGGCGGTCCGGACACCGCGATACGTGCGGTGCTTTACCAGCTGCGCAGGCCCTATCTTCGTGCAAGCCGATTTCAGGGCCATCGAGCTGTGAAAAAGAAAAGACATCTCTTCCCCGGAGCCCCCGCCGACGTAACCGGATTCGCTCGCGTTGCCGCCAGCTGCCACGTCCCCGGTTCGGGAATTTTGACCCGATTCCTCTCTTGTCTCAGCTAACTCTCCTTCATCTCCTGCACCCCCTGCCTCTCCTGTCATTTTGCGCAGCCTTTCTGGATGCCCGTTGCTTCCCTCCTTCTCTGTGTGCCTCCTCTCCACCTCTTCCAACTCTTGCCTGGCAGGTGCAGGGAGGAGAGGAAAGTGTGTGAGACAGGGAGGAAAGCAGGTCGTTTGAGGCATGAAGGAAGGGAGGGTGCACGAGTAGAAAGAGTGCAGAACGAGCAGCTGTAGGCAGACTGTGATCTGCCCAAGAGGCAGATTGTAACCATAGCGACGCCTCTAGCTGCGAGTCGATTCCCTCCCAGCAACACAGCACCGTCCGTAGCATCACTTTGGAGGGCTTTAAGTTTAGTAGAATCATCTGTGCACCTGTTAAGTGAAGCACGTCATGATCCTACAGAAAGCAGACAATCTTTACAGAATCCCCTACCCATGTCCAGCTCCCCAGCAACAGGTTGACGCCCTGCCTGCACTTACCTCGCCAGCGCATTTGTCACCTGCACCACTCACTGCAAGCAATCCGTGTAACTCAACACTTTAGCAACAGCAGCAGGTGTAGGGTTCCAAAGGCTGTGAGGACCCAGCACGCACTCACCCCGCACTTACCTCGCCAGCGCATTTGTCGCCTGCACCACCCGTTGCAAGCACTCCGCGTGACTCAGCGCCTGGCCCACAGTTGGCACAGCAGCACCAGCAGCTGCAGCGGCCGCAGCAACAGCAGCAGCAGGAGGCGCATGGCTTCGATACGACCCTGATCTGAGGGCAATCTGAATCGCTGTAGGCGCTGGGGGCATGGGAGAGCCCCAGCTCCCTTGTGCTGCTGCTGGTGCAGGGCTGATGGGCGAACCCACATTTGTTGCGGGGTTGTATCGTGCAGGAGGAATAGGCGAGGAGATTGATGGTGTGAGGGAGATGGTGGGGAGAGGTGTGAGGGAGGAGAGGAGGCGGAGGAGGGATTCTGGTGAGGGAGTGTGTGGGGGAGTGAGAGAGGGGTGGGAGGAGGCGAGGAGGAAGGCGAGGAGGTGTGCGGAGTGGGGAAGGAGGAGATGGAGGCGGAGGAGGAGCAGGTAGAGCGCCTGAAAGGGGGGAGGGGTGGAGGAGAAGAAACAATCATCAACTGAGGAGTGGACAAGGTAAACACTAAAAGAATTAACTAGGGTGGGGGAGAGGAGAGGTAAGGACCAGGGAGAGATGACAAACATACCAAAACTGCTAAAGACGTGAGCAGGACAGCAGTATGCTTTGAGAAGATCACATGCACGGGCTAGGCCAGTGGATCAAAGCCGGATGCACCACAGAGAAAGGAACACAAAGAGCAGTATGCTTCAGGGAGGTGTCACATGCACGAGCTAGGCCAGCGGTGGGAGGTAGTTACCTGAACAGCAGACGCCCATTGGCCCAGAAGGGGAGGCGCAATTGGGGGAGGTGCAGCAGAGGCAGGTGGCACTGCGGTGGTGCTGTGGTGGGCAGATCCGTGAGGGTCCGATGCACCCACAGTGGTGAATGGGGGTGCGCTGCAGAAATGGTTGTGGAGGAGGGTCTAGAGGGAGGTGAGAGCTCACGAGGGGGAGAGTGGAAGTGGGGGAGAGAGGGAGAGAAGGAAGGTTGAGAGGGTCAGGCGAATCTGCGGTGCATGAGAGTGTGCTGAAGAACTGGTGCTGGAGGGTCCGGAGGAAGGTAAGAGGCACAGATGGGGAGAGAGGGAGAGGATGACAGGGTGGGACATTAGGAGGGTGAGACGAACCCATTGCGGTGCGCGAGGGTGTGCTGAACGAATGGTGGTGGAGGAGGGTTTGGAAGGAGCGCCCCCCCACCCTTCCCCTCCTTCTCCGCAACTCACCTTGAGGCAGCGTTGAGTCCGTGCATGGACCCATCGTGCCCCTCACATAGGTGCCTACAGGATGCATCCTCCCCCATCCACCCCTCCTCCCTTCCTCCCCTCACCTTGAGACAGCGTTTGAGTCCGTGCATGGACCCATTGGGCACCTCACATAGGTGCCTACAGGATGCATCCTCCCCCATCCACCCCTCCTCCCTTCCTCCCCTCACCTTGAGGCAGCGTTTGAGTCCGTGCATCATGCACCTCAAACGACTCCCACAGTGCAGTCCAGGCGGAGTGGGAGAGCACCACTGGCACCGCCTCCGCTACTGCTGCTGCTGCTGCTCCTCCTCCTCCTCCTGTTAATGCTGCTGCTACCCCTGCTCCTGCTCCTGCACCTCCTTTTACTACTCCTGCTGCGGCTGCTGCTGCTGCAGGGATTGGTGGTGATGGCGAGGGAGGGGAGAACAAGGGCTGTAGAAGGGCGGAGAGGAGGAGAGGGTCGAGGAGGAGGCGCGGAGAGGGCAGGCGGAATGTGGAGAGATGGAGGTGGGGGAGGGTGCTGGGCGGCAGGAGGCGCGGGATGGACGGCAAGGAGTGGACGCCAGTGAGGATGAGGACAAAAGGGAGGGTGCTACGCCACTCGCTGGGGGTGGGGGAAGGTGAGGGTGGAGGAAGGTGGGGAGGGGGAAGGTGGGGAGGGGGAAGGTGAGGGTGGGAGAAGGTGAGGGTGGGGGAAGGTGAGGGTGGGGGAAGGTGAGGGTGGGGGAAGGTGAGGTGGGGGAAGGTGAGGATGGGGGAGGGTGAGGGAGGGGGAAGGTGAGGGCGGAAGGGGAGATGTGTGGTTGGAGATGGGTGTTTTTGGGGTGGATGTGTTGTTGAGAAGTGCTTGGAGAATCAGCATCACAAATGAGCTTTTGCGGATAAAAGGAGTAAGAAGGGTGGGAGAAAGGAGGAGGGAGGGAGCACTAACCTGAGGACACCGATCAAGGCAACTGGTGCTGCAGGCAGGCGCGTCCGCCACCACAACGGCTAAGGAGTACACACCTCCACTGCACCCAGCCCTCCTATTTGAGTCTACTTTAACAAAAGAGGAGCAGCACTGACCTGAGGACACTGATAAGGGCGTGCAGGGCAGTGGTGCTGCAGGCAGGCGCGTCCGCAACCACTACCGCAATGGAGCACGCACCACCACTGCACCCAGCAGCGTTCCCCACGCTGCCAGCACTGGTGTGTGCCTGGTGCCATGCGGAGAGGGCTGCCATGTCAGGGACCTGAGGCACACGGGCAGCAGAGGAAAGAACGCAAGTCTGTCTCTTGGAGTCAGAGGGCTAGCAGTACGTTGCCAGCAGCGCTGCCGGCAGTGCTACCCATGCTGCCAGCACTGGTGTGTGCCTGGTGCCATGCGGAGAGTGTAGCCATGTCAGGGACCTGAGGCAAGTTGGGCAGGGAAGCACAGGGATGAAATGCAGTGATTCGATTATTGATAGAGCTGCCGGAAGGGATTGACTAAGCCACTAGTCGTGTAACATTGTAACAGGGACAAAGATCACGAGCCTCTCTCACCCTTTTCTCCCTTTCCCCCCTTTTTCAGATCTCACCTCCTTCTCCTCAACCCTAGCCTCTCTTCCCCAATCCCTCTTTTCTTGCATCACCCCTCCTCCCAGCCCCTCCACATTCCGTCTCTGCCTCACCTTCCCAGCCTTCCCCGTCAGCTGCTGCAGCACGCTCAACACAGCCTGGCTGCCTGCCTGCCCTCCCCCTCCCAAGTTATGTGGCTCCAGAAGCACCACGTGGCAGCAGCCCATTTGCTGCAGGGAGGCCTGAAGCGCGGAGCAGAAGGAAGCACTGTCGGTGGAGTCGAGCGAGCCGGTTACCACAACGCTGGTCGGCAGCTTGCAGGTCATACCCGCCCCAGCAGGCGTTATCTGGACAGGGCTTATCTGGACCGATGTAGAGTCGTCGTCTTGCCCTGTGTTGTCTGGAAAAAGGTGTTGGGGAGCAGGCAAGGTCGTTGCTTCATACATTACTTAATCATGCCTTAAGGCAAACATTACTGATCAGAAGGAATCAAGAGTTATGTGAGATTATCAACAAAGCGGGCTGCTGTATGAGAAGACCGACGCTCTCCTAAAACATCCACATCTGCATACAACGAAGATGCTTATAGCAAGGTGTTTACAAGAAAGTGCTTACAATAGAGGTGCTTACAGCGGTGCAGAGCGGTGGATGTCTTGACCCACTGCTGAAGCTGAGCAACCACTCGGCTCTCGTACTCTTGAAGCACTGCCTGCATGTGGTGGCGTGGGGTTCCATGGGGGCGGTTGCATAGGGTTGTATGGGGTTCCATGGAGTTGCATGCGGTTCTTATGTTCTTATACATAGAATAGTAGCGTCCCATGCACTTCTTGCATTTATTCCCCATGCTTACATCCATGCGTTGCTGCATGCCCCCCCACGTGGCTTCGAACGCCCCTCTCCCAAACACGGCTGCTGCTGTCACCCTCGTCTTTCTTCCAGCTGCTGCATTCCCACCCCCTGCTGCCGGAACCTCTGCTGCCACACCCCCTGCTGCCACACCCCCTGCCGCAACATTCACACCCCCTGTGGCAGCATTCTTCCCTACAAGCACATCCTTTACTTGCACAAGGCCATCCCGCATAAGCACAGCAGCAGGCCTCTGTCCCGCCTTATCTCCCTGCCTCGCATTCCCTCTCTCCGACACACACTCCCCCAGCAGCACGTTCTGTCTGCTCGGAGCATGGCTCTCCCTTCGCCTTGGTGCAAAACACCCGTCTGATTTCCTGTAGGTTGCATCTCCTGCCTTATACGCTGTATCTGTCTCTTTTCTCGTAGATGTTCTTTCGCCATCTCCCCCCACTTCCTCGACCTCCTCTCCCTCCTTCTCCCCCAGCTCCTTTCCCTCCTCCCCCATCTTCGCCTCCCCTTCCTCTTCCACATCCGCTTCCTCCTCCTCCCCTCTCTCCTCCCCTTCCTCCGCCTCTGCCTCTTCCTCGTCCGCTCCTTCGCTTGGCATCCTCCCCTCTTCCACACCCTGGTCCTCCTCCTCGCAAGTAGCCCCTCCCCCTGACACCACCTCCTGAACGTCGTCGTCAGCTTCAGCATCATCACCTTCATCACCATCACCAGCATCATCACCATCATCACCATCATCAGCATCATCCCTTCTACCCTCCAATCCCTCCTCCTCCGTCTCTTCCCCATCCTCCTCCTCATTTCTCTTTCCTCCCCTTTGACTGACCCGATACTTCCCACTCCGCTCCTCCTTATCCTTCTTCGCGTTTCGCTGCTTCGATCTCCCTAAAGCCTCTCCCTCCTTCGCCCTCCTTGTTCCCTCTTTCTCACTTCCTCTCGCTGTCCCCCCTCTCTCACTCACACCGCCTGTCTTCCCAGACAATCTCTGGGACCTCCTAGGCGTAACGTGCTTTCCATCCGACGGCTCAGATTGTTTCCGAGACGGCTCAGGTTGAATCGACTCTCCTACTGTCACCGCGCATTGGACCTGATCCCCTCCAGATGGCGTATACTCGTTCAAATCTCCGTTCACACGCAATTCCGCTGATTCTGCACTCTCAGATCCCCGCTCCTGCTTTTGCTTCCTCGCCGACTGGCTAAGAGCGGCTTTGCCACGCGACAGGTGTTTCTTTGACCTCATCAGGATTCACAAGGAAACTATCTCTTAGCCAATCCACAGATTCTTCGAAAAGATATGTGCTGATCCTCGTGACCTGTAGGTCCTCTATCTTCACTTAGCCTACTACGTAGCGGTTAACTAGGCCCACTGATCGTCCACAGCTGAAGGGATGTAAAAAACAGTATCTTTATATCGAAGCTGTTAGTGGTGACCTGATCGTGCTTCGTAGAAAGCTGTCACTTTGATGAAGGCAGGAATTGTTGCTGTACCACCGATGTGAAGTCATTTACGCGCACACCTAAAAAAACAACGCGACGAGCTGCGCCAACTCCCATTCACAGCGGCGAACATGCAATTTACCAGCTAACACCTATAGATGTGTTCTGCTGGCTAGTGCTTTCACAAGGTCGGGTACAGAGGAGATCAAGCAAGGAACTTAGTTGTCTTGAAACTCGCCCACCCATCAAACCGTTCCTGTGCCAGAAATCCCAACTCGGGAATCGGGATGACAGGCTACGGCCATTTCGTGTCAGTGCTGTGTCAGGAGGAGGAAGAACGCCATTCCCCTTGATATTGGCCCGCCATTTCTCTGGCGCCGCGGAGGCAAAGATGGAGGCCAAATTTCAAATACACCACGATTACACTAAATCTGAAGGCCATTCTATCCAATTCAGCAACAACAGATTCTAAATTATGTGCAAGCCCAAAACAAATATACACCTTATACCGCCTTCCCATTATCTGCTCGCCATCCCGTGCCCCCTCACATCATGGTATCCTCTTAACCTCATATAGCGCCACTATTTTTAAATAAACGTGTCTAATTCTTCAGTCTTCTTGTTTTTACATGGCCTGTCTCATATCTTTCTCTTTTTTTATGAGAGCGCGCTGACCCCTTTGAGTTATGGCGGATGGCAGAAGGCAAACGCATGACTAATATGATATAATAGCTGGAATCACCCATACAGTGGTGTAGTTGGAGAATATATACCCCTTCAGGGGAAATATGCAAATGGTAACATGAATAGGGCTCAATAACGCATATGGTAACAATACACTGAATTTTGAAAGCATCAACCCAAGAATCACCATGATATAGAGCGGTTCTTTCCTAAGGACCGATTTTTATGGGCCCACCGCTAGCCTCTCGCGATGGCGCACACCGTTGCGCAGCCCGTAGTGCGCCTCATGAGTGCTTCCCTGCCTACAGCCAGTCGCCCGCGCGCTGTCTGCTGTGGCATCCCATCGTCTGGGCGCTACCCGCTACAGCAGCCAGCCGCCCACACGATATCTGCTGCTGCAGCCCGTCGCCCGTCCTGTCGCACTGCCGCCCGTCACCTGCCTCGTCGACCGTCGCCCGCCCCATCGCGCTGCCACCCGTCACGTCACGCCCGTCACCTGCCCCGGCGACCGTCCCGCCAACGGACCAGCGAGCTCGCCAACTGACCCGCGAGCCTGCCAGCAAGCGATCCAGCAGAACCGCCGTCGGACCTGCCAGCAACATCTGCCAGCGCCTCCGCCAGCTCCACGACCTGCACTACGCTCCATGTTGTACCCAACAATCTTACTCAACCCACCGTAGAGTAATCAACCCATCTTACCCAACCCAGCTCTCTCACTTCAATAAAGGGCATTCAGACCACCCAAAGGGATTCATCCCTTCCTTCTCACCCATACCACCCAAGGGGATTCATCCCTTCCTTCAGAAAGCCCACTTCCTTCACCCCCCTCCCCTTCCCCTTCCCTCTGCCAGCCGTGGGAGCACTAGGGGTTCACTCTCCTTCCCTCTGACTCACCCACCCAAGGGGGTTCACTCCCCTTCCCTCTGACTCACCCACCCAAGGGGATTCAGGCCCCACTCACCACCCAAGGGGTTTCAGGCCCCACTCACCACCCAAGGGGATTCAGGCCCCACTCACCACCCAAGGGGATTCAGGCCCCACTCACCACCCAAGGGGTTTCAACCCCCACTCACCACCCAAGGGGTTTCACCCCCACTCACCATCCAAGGGGTTTCAGGCCCCTTTCTCTCTCACTCACCCACCCAGCCCCTCCCACCTTCACCTACCAGCACTAGGAGCAGCAGACAGCCCACTTTCTTAAGGAAACAGCACCCCCAGAGGCGGTGCCGTATGGGGCGAAGTGTGGTAGTGGAAAATTGCTTCCAGCCCAAGACTCAAATCCCACCCCTGACGTAGCCAGAGCTGACGCGAACCAGAGCCGCCGGCCGGTCGGCTCTGACGGTGTCCATTAGGCCTTGTACGTCAGATCGGTTACTTGAGCACCGAGTGCCGTGCCGCGCAGATTCCTCCCACCACACTCCACCACCACAAGGCACAACCCCAGGTGATGCTGCCCCTAAGGCAGTGAACTCCCCTCTTGCTCCCATGCTCCCACCCACCCACCCCACGCTTCACCCCCATGCCTCCTTACCTGTACCTACCACAGCCGTGCAGAGCGCCATGATGCTGAGGCTGCTGGGAAGTGGAGAGAGAAGGGGGGATTAGGGGAGGGAGAGACTCCTCTGTGGTCCAGGCAGGGTGCTGCTGGGAGGGAATGGAGAAGGGAGAGAGGAGGAGGTGAGTGAGAGGGTGGACTCCACTCTCCCGCCCTTGCTCCAGTGCTCCCACCTTCAGCCTGCAGGGAGAAGGGGGAAGAGAGAGAGGAGGGGATCAGCTTACCATAACACACCTGTACCATACAATACCTGCACCATACCACACCTAGTCTGCCCTCTAGGCCCCCAGACCCCACTGCTGCTGTTGACACTTCTTCTGCTGCTACTGCTGCTACTGCTGCTGCCGGTCTGCTACACTGCTTCCCCTTCATCTGCCGCTGCCCCTCCCCTCCCCTCCGCTGCTGCCCTGCTGCTGCCCCCTGCTGCCCTGCTGCTTCCCCCTGCTGCCCTTCAATGTACTGGGAGGGAGGAAGAGGGAAGGAAACAGGGAGCAAGGGACAACAGTGAGAATGGGGAGAACAGCAAGCATGAGGCAGGGAGGGAGCAAAAACGAGAAGTGAGCATGCAGAGAAGACCAAGCAGCAGCATGAGTGCATAAGGGAAAAGAGGCTCACCTTGTTCCAGACGACCCCATCCCGATACTCTCCCATCCCATCCCAGCCGAGTGGAGTGCTGCCCCCCTCCCCTCCCACCGCTGCCACCTGCACGGCCACAAGGGGAGGGGTGCGGGGGAGTGGCGGTGTTGACCCCTACGCCCCTCCCCACTACCTGCAAGGAGAGAACTGAAGGGAAGTGAGTAAGCGGCTAGGGGTAACAATCTGAAGGAAGTACATGGTTGGGGTGGGGTGGGGTGACAGCAGGAAAGGGGGCCACTGGTGCAGCCTCAGCTACAAGCCACAAACCCAAAGGGGCTATATACCAAGGGAGGCTTAATCTGAGAGAATACCTTCTGTACCTGGGGTGGGTTACCAAAAAAAAGGGGGCAGGTCGGGACAGAGAGAGGAAGGGAGGAAGAGGGGGAGAAAACGGGGGAGTGAAGGGGGCGCAGAGGAGTGGAGAGAGGAGTGAGGAAAGACAGTAAACGTGCAGCAAGCACAAGCATGATGCGTGCATGAATGGACAGCTGCAGTGGCACACCCAAGAGACCTCGTACCAGCTGAACCAAACTAAAATGAATACCTGAGGCTGTACCAAGAAAAAAGATACCTGCTACCTTAGGGGAGGGAGGTCTAATGGGTGTGACAAAGAGCAGTGAAAACGGGAGTGTAATGCATGGTGCAAGCATGACAAGCACAGCAACACATTAAGAGGGTAGGGAGAAGAGAGGAAGGGCGGGGTACTTAGCTGTGGGTGAGTTGGGTGGAGAGCAGCTGCTGCCTGTGCACTCCATGTCCCCGCCACTGCCACTCCCGTGAGAGCGACCTGCTGGGACCAGGAGGGGGCAGATCAGGACAGAGAGAGAAAGGGAGAGGGGGGGGGGAGAAAACAGGGAAGTGAAGGGGGCGCAGAGGAGTGGGGAGAGCAGTGAGGAAAGAAGTCAAGACAAGTGAAAGTGAAGAGTGCAGCAAGCGCAAGCATGAATGGACAGCAGCAGTGGCACACCCAAGAGACCTCGTACCAGCTGAACCAAACTAAAACAAATACCTGAGGCTGTACCACGAAAAAAGATACCTACTACCTTGGGGGAGGGAGGTCTAATGGGTGTGACAAAGAGCAGTGAAAAAGGGGGTGCAATGCATGGTGCAAGCATGACAAGCAAAGCAACACAGTGCGAGGGTTGGGAGAAGAGAAGAAGGGCGGGGTACTTAGCTGTAGGTGGGTTGGGCGGAGAGCAGCTGCTGCCTGTGCACTCCATGTCAGCCGCCACTGCCACTCCCGGCCTGCTACTCTGCTTCCCCTGCTGCTGCCGCTGCCCCTCCCCTCCCCTCCGGTGCTGCCCTGCTACGGCCTTCAATGTACTGGGAGGGAGGGAGCAAGGCAAGGGTAGGCAGGGGATCAAGGGACAGCAGTGAGAATGGGGAGAAGAGTAGGCAGAAGCTACAAGGAAGCAAGGGAGTTAAAACGGCAAGTCAGCATGGGGAGAAGAACAAGCAGCAGCATGAGTGCAAGAGGGAAAAGAGGCTCACCTTGTTCCAGACGACCCCATCCCGATACTCTCCCATCCCATCCCAGCCGAGTGGAGTGCTGCCCCCCTCCCCTCCCACCACTGCCACCTGCACGGCCACAAGGGGACGGGTGCAGGGGAGTGGCGGTGTTGACCCCTACGCCCTTCCCCTCCACCTGCAAGGAGAGGACTGAAGAGAAGTGAGTAAGCGTGCATGGGTGGGGTGGGGTGGGGTGGGGTGGCAGGTAACAGCAGGAAAGGGGGCCACTGGTGCAGCTTCAGCTACAAGCCATAGACTCGAAGGGGGCTTAACCTGAGAGGATACCTGTACCTGGGGTGGTTTACCAAAAATAAGGGGTCTGTGGCTTGAAGTTGTAGCACGACCAGAGGCTCAGGTTTGAAGAGAGGTTCAGGTCTCTTGGGTGCGACAGAGGGCAGCACGTGAAAAGCAGCAGAGTACGATGGGTTAGGAGAAGAGAGGAAGGGCGGGGTACTTAGCTGTGGGTGGGTTGGGTGGAGAGCAGCTGCTGCTTGTGCACTCCATGTCCCCCGCCACTGCCACTCCCGTGTGAGCGACCTGCTGGGACCAGAAGGGGGCAGATTGGGACAGAAAGAGGAAGGGAAGAGAAGGGGGAGAAAACAGGGAAGTGAAGGGGGCGCAGAGGAGTGGGGAGAGCAGTGAGGAAAGAAGCCAAGACAAGTGAAAGTGAAGAGTGCAGCAAGCGCAAGCATGATGTGTGCATGAATGGACAGCTGTAGTGGCACACCCAAGAGACCTCGTACCAGCTGAACCAAACTAAAATGAATACCTGAGGCTGTACCAAGAAAAAAGATACCTATTACCTTGGGGGAGGGAGGTCTAATGGGTGTGACAAAGAGCAACCAAGAGATAAGTACCCCTCAACCAGCACACACTGTCCAAGAGATAAGTACCCCTCAACCAGCCACTCTCCCTCCTTTTCACTCAATTTCCAGCTTGTCATTTCGCCCGTTTCCCCTTCCACTTCCTCCGCGCTCTAGCTGCCTGTAGCACACCCAAGGCCCCCCTTTTCTTTTAAAGGTACAGACTGTCAGGTGACCCCCTGGTAGGTACAAAACTTGTTCCCCTTGGCATGGTAAGGTAAGGTGAAGCCCTCTCTTCCTCTGCTCTTGGGTGTGTTTCAGCAGCTGTGCATCATCCCATCCTGCATGTCATCTTCTCATCCACATTCGTCTCACTGCATTTCTCTCCCTTGTACTTCATTCTAATACTCACTCCCCCTCCCCCTCTCCTCATCTCCCCCCACGCCACCCACTCCCTGACCTTTCAGTGCCCTGCTTAGGTGACGCTTCTCAAGGGACGTGGGCTGCAGAGGCAGCAGCAGAGGCAGCCGCATGAGCTCCCCAGCACACAACCAGCACCGACTGAGCACGACCACAGAGTATCGCTTCACCACCCATTCTCCCTCCTTTTTACTCGCCTTCTTGCTTGTCGTTTTGCTCACTTCCCATTCCACTGCCTCCCCGCTCTAGCTGCCTATAGCACACCCAAGCCCCCCTTGTCTTTTCAAGGTACAGACTCTCAGGTAACCCCCTGGTAGGTACAAAACTTGTCCAACTTGGTATGGTAAGGTCAGGTGAAGGTCCCCCCCCCCCCGTCCGCCCATGGGTGTGTTACAGCAGCTGTGCATCCTTCCCGTATTTCATCTGCTCATCCTTATTCTTTCTCTGGACTTATCCCCTCTCCCTTTCTCTCCGTTTTAATACTCACTCCCCCCCCCCCCCCCCCCGCTCCTCGTCTTCTCTCCCACGCCACCCCTCCTTGACCTTCCAGGGCTCTGCTTCGGCGACGCTTCTCAAGGGGCGTGGGTGGAGGTGCAGCAGCAGTAACGGATGCAGCAATAAGGGTTAGCTTGGGCTTTTAAGCGCACAACCAGACCTCAACCAGCATCCACCCAGCACAATCAAAGATGAGTATCACTTCTCCATACACATTCCCTCTGCCTTCAACTGCTTGTTCCGCTTGCCTTCCGCTTCCAGTGTTTAGCTCCTTGCATGCGCCTCGCTCGCCGCTCTAGCTGCATGTGGCACACCCAAGGCCCCCCCTTTTCTTTTCAGGTGTAGAGCATCAGGTGCCCTTATAGCTTGAGCCAGGTCAGGTTCAGGTTCAGGTTCAGGTTCAGGTTTTGCAGGTTCAGGTTCAGGTTCAGGTTCAGGTTCAGGTACAGGTTCAAGTTCAGGTTCAGGTACAGGTACAGGTACAGGTCCCCCTCTCCCTCCCCCTCCCCGGTTGGGTGTGCTGCAGCAGCCTAGTTCGTGCTTGCCTTGCCTTGCTGAATGACGCCTGTCTTGCTTGCAGCAGTTTGTCTGATCCGCATCTGCTGCTTCCACTCACTCACTCCTGCTCCCCTGCTGTCCTCCCCCCTCCCGTTCCCCCTCTCCCCCACCCTCCTCCCCTCGCCCTCACTGCCCCTCGCTCTCCTTGCCGGGCCCTGCTTGGCAGACGCCGGCACCATCTGCTCAATCCAGTGCACTGCTCTGCTTGGCGCTCAGGCTTCATCTTCTCGAGGCTGGCGCGTCTCAACTCAAGGGACGTGGGTGGGAAGGCAGCAGCAGGGGCAGATGCATGGTTCCCCTTGGGCTCCCCAGCACACAACCAGCATACACCCGCCCAGCACGATCAATGGTGAGTATCTCTGCCTTCAACTGCTTTTCCACTTGCTTGTTCTGCATGCTTCCTGACGCTTGCTCCTTGCATGCGCCTTGCTCGCCCTCACTCCCCTTCTTTCTCCGTCAAATCCCCCTTCTCCCCCCCCTCCCCCCTCCCCCCTCACTCCCCCCACCCCCCCCCCCCCCCCCTTCTCTCCCTCCCCCCACCCCTTCCAGCACGATAGGAACAGTAGAGGGGGAAGCAGAGGCATGCGGGGAAGCTAAAGGGGTGCACGCACGAGCATGACAGCGCCCATCTGCTGCTCTACTCACCGCAGCTAAGTCCCTCACTTGTCTGCTCTCTGCTGCACGCCTGTTGCTGCACGCCTGTTGAACTGCCTTTGCCGCTGGTTGTTCTGCATGCTTCCTATCTCTTGCTCCTTGCATGCGCCTTGCGCGCCCTCACTCATGTCCTTCCGTTCCCCTTTCTCTCCCTCGGCGCCCCCTTCTCCCCCTCCCCCCGCCCCTCCCAGCGCGCCAGGGGAAGCACAGGGGGGAACGGAGGCATGTGGGGAGGAGCCAAACGGGAGCAGGGCGCCTATCTGCTGCTCTACTCACCGCAGCTAAGTCCCTCATCCTGCTGCCTGCTGCACTCCTGCTGCTATGCACTTGTTTTTCCAGCACTTGGCTTCTCAGCACTTGGCTTTCTGCTTGTATCCTCGTTATAATTCCTTTATGCAATTCCCTTGCCTTTGTGTATTACTCTCCACTCGTCACCCACTAATCGCATCTGTACCCTCCCCTCCCTCCCCAGCTGGTTCATTTGTTGTGCACAGGAGTGGTGGTAAGTTGTGGTAAGTGGTGGTGGAGAGTGGTGGTGGTGGTGGTGGTGGTGGTGGTGGTGGTGGTGGTGGTGGTGGTGGTGGTGGTGGCGGCGGCGGCGGTGGCGGTGGTGGTGGTGGTGGTGGTGGTGGTGGTGGGTGGGGCAGAGTGGGGTGAGGGGGCCGTGGAGTGTGGAGCTAAGACGCGCACGTTCAAGGCATTATGGACGATCACCACACCCTGCGGCCGGGGGTGTGGTGTGGCTCCCCTCTTGCCACGTCGCTGAGGCTCCACCTCTCAACGTTCCTCTCAGCCCCTCTGCTGCTGGAGAGAGTGGTGGAGAGTGGTGGTGGTGGTGATGTTGGTGGTGGTGATGATGGTGGTGGTGGAGAGTGGTGGAGAGTGGTGGGAAGTGGTGGTGGTGGTGGTGGTGGAGAGTGATGGTGGGGAGTGGTGAGCGGTGGGAAGTGGTGGTGGTGGAGAGTGGTGGTGGTGGTGGTGGTTATGGTGGTGATGGTGGTGCAGTGGAGGGAGGGTGAGCCTCTCTGAGTGAGGGGAGAGCAAGGCAGGGGAGGGATGTTGAACTCCCCAGGGCAAGGCTTGTGAGGGGCAGGGGGGAGGGAGGGGGGTTGAAACCCCCGGGTTGAGGCAAGCAAGGGTCAGAGGAAACCCCCCTCCTCTGGCCTTGGCTTATCTTAACCCGGGGGTTTCAACCTTCCTCTCTTGCCTCTCACTCGCCTTGCTCTGAGGGGTTTGACATCCTTCCCCTGCCTTGTTCTCACCTCACTCATGGGGGTTCATCCCCTCTCTACTGCTGCTGGTGGTGGTGAGTGGTGGTGATGGTAGTGGTGATGGTGGTGATGGTGGTGGTGGTGATGGCGATGGTGGTGATGGTGGTTGTGGGGGAGAGTGGTGGTGGTGATGACCGAGGGGTCGGTGAGTGGTGGTTGCTGCTGGTGGTGGTGGTGGTGGTGGTGGTGGTGGTGGTGGTGGTGGTGGTGGTGGTGGTGGTGGTGGTGGTGGTGGTGGTGGTGGTGGTGGTGGTGGTGGTGGTGGTGGTGGTGGTGATGGTGATGGTGATGGTGATGATGATGGTGATGGTGATGGTGGTAGTGGTGGTGGTGATGGTGGTGGAGGAGAGCAGAGGGTGAGCTTCACTACGTGAGGAGAGAGCAAGGCAGGCAAGGGATGTTGAATTCCCTGTCTTGTCCCTGCCTTGTCAAGGCAGAGGACAAGGCAGACAAGGCTGCCTTGTCCCTGTCGTTGTCCTCATCTAATCCCAGGCAAGGGATGCTGAGTTTCCAGGGCTTTCAGCATCCAATTAGCTGCTGGTGGTCCAAAACCAATCTGAGGACCTTGTCTTGTACTGATGGTTCTGATGTTTGGGGGCTGGTCGTTGTGGGGTTTCGTAGGAAGACCAACAAGCACACATGATGTTTCGGATGTGTAATACTAGCTTGTGGTATATTGTGAAATTTTGGTGTTGCATTTTGTGGCATTTTTACAAATGCTAGCTTAGTCTGTTGATTTTGCTTGCAGCAATACCGTATGTTTTTAGTTCAGAACTCAATGCCTGTAACCAGGGCCTCAGATTCGTTTTGGCTTAGGCTGAATCGTCAGCCTTTGGAGTGTGTTGAAAGCTGATCAATCAGAGTTGCCTTGAAAAAAAAAAAAGATAATTTTTGAAAGTGTAATGAAATGTAACACTTTAAAATTTTGTATTGTGAAAAGGGGTACGTGGCCAACACAGCAAAGGTAGCGCCGAAGCGCTACTCACCCTCTTTTTTTGCCTACAAAAGAGGGACATGGGGAC